TGATAAAAGGTTACATTTTGCTCGGTATGCGGTCTTCATGTTGAAGCTTGGATAGGATTTTTCTTGTGAGTCAGTTTGACTGCGATCGATGACTGTAATACAATTCTCCGCTGTTGTAGAGTTGTTAAATACAAAGGTGATGTGTTTTTTTTTTCCAGAAAATTTCCAGATTGCAAATTCCATGATCGATTACTTGCCTTGAGAAGAGACGGTTGTCGTTGGGAGGATTTCGTATATCGGTTGCCTATGCAATGCCAAAGGTTGCATTTGGATTTAAGGATTTGAGGTAAAATTTGTTGTGCTGTTCGGATGCAAAGAATTCAACTTCCAAAGATCCACATTTGATTTGTTTTGGAAGCCATTGTGGTTTATATTCATCTTAGATGAAGCCATTTGAATTGATTCAGACTTTATATGCATAGCCGACCTCAATCTAATTGACAATCAAGTGAAATATTTTGCGCTATAAATATGTAACATTATTAAAATGATAGAAACTAATTGGAAGTTAAAATAAGTACTAATAAAACATGTCTAACCTCTCCGTCATATAAATTTTTCGCAACTGAATGCTAAAATAATTCAAGATTTGGTCCATGGCCCAAGAACATAAATTTAATGGTGGGGCAAGGTACGGTGGCGTGGAGGTGAGGTACAATTCAAGATTTGGTCCATGGCCCAAGAACATAAATTTAAGGCCAATTTACACGTATCCTACACGTTTTATTTGGTAAGTTATGCCACAAAATCAGCGATAATGGAATAAATATATTTATGTTCTTATTTTCGTATAACTGCTATACAAATGACAAGAATTTGTATTTTTGCTAAATTTAATTGTTTAAGTGTAAAATTGTAATTAAATATATAAGGAGTCGTGCACCATATAATTTCCTCTAAATTTAATGGTGGGGCAAGATACGGTGGCGTGGAGGTGAGGTGAGGTACGACAAGGCCGGGGTTTCAGATGGGGTGTCCTTTGGTGGTGGCGAGATGGGCTCTATTTACGGCCATGTAATTGTGACGGTGGTAATTTCAGTTCAGATTATCCGAATTTTTTGCACTGATTTGATGCAGTGTTTTAAATACCATACCGGTAGCCATACCGGTCTAGACACCGATACGCGATTTTACCTGTCGGACCGGTAATATCGGTGGTATTACCGGATTAACAAATGTAATGACATATAAATATACATAAAAATAAATAATGCCAAATGCCAAAAAAATAAAAAATAAATGACCATAATCATTAATTTCAACTTCTCAATAAGAAAAAAATAAAACATTTTTAACTGCTAATTAAATTTTATTATTTTAAATTATTTTTTTTTTAATTTTTTATATTGACCGGTATTTTGGACCGGTATTTTTTGGTTTTTACGGTATGATCCCGGTACAAACTGGTATAACCGTAAATCTGATATTTTGAGTGTAATTGTATGTACAAATAGCGGTATCCGGTGTTACCGGCTGGTACGGTACGGTATTTAAAACATTGATTTGATGTTTGGTATGAGAAAACAAGGCTCTGGCAAATAAAATTGTTATCTTCGTCAATGGTTCATGCGTGATAATATTTTGTTTATCTACCGTTTATGTTGAGTATAACTTATTATGCTTATGCGTGATATGAAAATTTTGTGTTAATAGATTTGGATTGCGACTTTCACGTTTTTCAATTTTTCATCAATTTGAGGAATGCGAGTTGCTCGTACCCAATCCAACATCGAAGCATATCAAAGTTCTCAATAGCGATGACAATAGCAAGAGTGATGTCACAATAAATTAAGGAGAAGCAAGAGAAAGGATGCAAAAGTGATGATGATCCGCCCAGGTTGCTACCAGTTACTACTTCAAGTTAAAAATGAGATATGTCATGTTTGTTTCTGAAATTTAATGAATCGACTTCAATCTATATGCACTCAGATAATTCATGGTCTTACTGTATGATTTAGTTTTTTTGTTATGAGTTTTATTGTGCACTATGAGATTGGAATATATACGTGCTGATTTTTGAATTTTTTTGTAAGGTGATTATTTATGTTTCAATAAAAATGTTAGTATTTAACTTTTTTTGTTTCTTTAACTTTTACGTTATGTATATAAAAAAATGATGGGGATAAGTAAACATATACAGTTAATATACTTCAATTTATAAAAGTATATATCATGTTTGAAGATATACGTAATATATACGCAATATATACGGTTGTTTATACTTTAGTAAACATATCCTTTAGAATACTTTGTTAAATATTTACTTTAGTATATACAAAACATATATTTTAGCATACAATTACGATAACATAACCTACTTTATTTAAACAGAACAATACCATCCCAACTGGGATATGAATATCTATTTGTTTTCTCTAAATTAAACGTCACATATAGCTATATTGATAAACCTCAATGTAGTAATTCTTATGCAATATTGTTCATACAATTGAAAGTAGGTGTTCCATGTAAAAATTTACACAAAGTATACATTAGTTAAACATGAAGTACTCTCAAATATACAAAGATTTATAAACACATGAAACTCATCGAATAATAGCCAAACTTGGCTACGAACTCGCTGGACAACTCGCAACCAACCACCCAATTGTACGGAAATATCTTCATGACTAGCGAGCCACTGACACCCGTGGCAACAGGAGGAGAAGCGGTTGTTGCTCCAGATCGACGAATGTGGCGAGGAGATTGCGTATCTGAAGGAGAAAATCGATGAATTTGAGGGTGTGGAGGCCGATTTAAAGGAGAACGTCAAGGATTTGAGGAGAGAAGTCTGTGAGAGAGAGACGGAATGTTGAATTTCATGAGCAAAGGTGGTTGTGAAGCAGCGACAACAGCAACATTAATGGTGGGATAAGCTATGGTGACGTGGAGTTGAGGTACGACAAGTTCAGGTTTCCGTAGGTCTCACGCGAAATAAACTTGCTCTTTGACCTGGATAGGCGCCGTAGGGGGTGTGCTTTGGCCTGGTAAGATTTTTTTTTTTTAATCCATTTTGATTCCTCTTAAATTAGCCTAATTAAAGGGGAGAAGTTATTTGGAATGATAATAACATCTAATCTAAAAAATATGTGTCCTCCAAAATCCTTAAATGATAAAACTTCTCTCCACTAGTATATATGAAAATAAGTCTTAAATGAGGTATGGGTATGTAAATTTCCCTATTAAAAGATGGCCCAGCCATTGTATTCTCTTATCACTCATACGTTTTTAACATACAATAATACAATCCTGGACTGAAATATCAGATTCTATCATTTTTCCTACCAATAAATACCTAAATGTCTTAACATTTTCCCTCTTTCTTCACAGTTCATCTATCCAACAAAATTATTCCTTACACCGAGACAAAAATGGAAGGTCAAACAGACAGCCGACCAAACTAGACACTAAATTTCCTCACTTGGTGTCCGTGAAATCAGCATCGATCACATCTCCTTCAGGCCCTTTATCCGATGACTCTGAAGGGCTGGGCTCACCACCAGGCGTCGGGCCAGCACCAGGCTGGTTGTACAGTGACTGGCCCAATTGCATGACTTCCTGATTAAGTGCAGTCATGGCTTCCTTAATTGCTTGGGTCGAGCCCCCAGAGATGGCGTCCATGAGTTCTGCAAGTTTGGCCTCGACTTTTTCCTTCACAGCTGCTGGAACCTTGTCCCCGAGTTCCTTCACCTGCTTTTCTGTCTGGTACACTACTGAGTCCGCTTGGTTCTTGGTGTCTATGGCATCCCTCTTTTCCTTGTCCTCCTTTGCGAATTTCTCAGCCTCACTAACCATCCTCTCCACCTGTAACAACATAAGAGATTTTAATGATAACCAAACAGGATTAGCACGGATTGGGTGGTTTCAAACAGCCCAATGATGCAGATATGTTTCTATTTTACAAATGCAGATAACACAAAAAATGAAAAACTCAGATAAAGTAACTTAATTTGTAATAAAAATGTAACTTAGGGCGAGCTTGTTTATCAAATAATCCGGTCAAAAACAGTTTTTTTAACAATAGTTAATTTTGAAAAAGGTAGTATGCTTACTAGTTAGTAGAATTTTAAGAATGTATTAAAATAATATTTAAAATAAATTAATTAAAATTTAATTTGATGTAAAAGTAATAGATAAATGACATGATAAGCAATTAAAATTATGTGAATAAATGAATAGTGAATTAAAGTTGATGTGATGTGTAATAATGATTGGTTTGTATTATTTAATTATATGAATAATATTGATGATAGTGTGGTTGAGTTAGATTTTGAGTATGAATTAAATGTGAGTAATTTAATTTGTACACAAGCATGCCCTTAGTTTTTTTAATTGAGCTGAACGTCAGAGATTAATTTAAACCATAAAACAAAGAGTAGTTTAAAATCTCACATGCACGGAGGTGCTTAAGCATGAAAAGGCCAGTAAGCAAAACTAACCTCATCACTAGGTAATGTGCTGGCACCTGTAATAGTGATATCCTGCTTCTTTCCAGTTCCCTTATCGATGGCAGTCACAGACAAGATACCATTAGCATCAATGTCAAATTTGACCTCAATCTGCGGGACCCCACGAGGAGCGGGAGGGATCCCATCAAGACGGAAGCTACCGAGGGACTTGTTGTCCCTAACAAACTCTCTTTCACCTTGAAGCACATTGATCTCAACACTCGTCTGCCCATCGGCAGCAGTCGAGAAAACTTCGGATTTTGAAGTGGGCAACGTCGTGTTTCTGGGAATGATCTTCGTCATGACCCCACCCAAAGTCTCCAGACCCAACGATAGTGGCGTCACATCCAGAAGGACAATGTCGCTAACATCTCCAGCCAAAACACCAGCCTGAGGACATAATAAAACAGGCAAGAAACTCAGACAACGTAAAGTTAAGTGCACAAAAAAAATCCACGAAGAACATGGACAACCTGAACTGCGGCTCCAAGAGCAACAACTTCATCAGGGTTGACAGTGACATTCGGATCCTTTCCAGTCATACTTTTGACAAGTTCCTGGACAGCTGGAATACGGGTCGAGCCTCCCACAAGGATGACCTCATCGATATTGGTGATCGAGAGCTTTGCGTCCCTCAGTGCATTTTGAACGGGTGTTTTAAGTCTGGGAAAAATTAAAATTATTAAGTCAATTAGAGGGGGAACTCTATGAGTCAAGAGTTATGCTTCGGTATTTTGCTCGACAATAGCGTGCCCACCTGTCGAGCAAATCTGAGCAGAGTTCCTCGAACTTAGCTCTTGTGAGAGTGGTTTCTATGTGTTTGGGGCCATCCGCAGTGGCAGTAATGAAAGGCAAACTGGTGAGACAAAATAATGGTAAGTTACAGGCAAAATGTTGCAAGACCAAGAGATGGAAAATTCTGAACTTGCCTGATATTAGTTTGAGTCAAAGAGGAAAGTTCCATCTTAGCTTTCTCGGCAGTCTCAGTTAACCGTTGAAGCGCTTGTTTGTCCTTCAAGAGATCTATCCTTTCATCCTTCTTGAAATTGGCAGCAAGCCAATCAACAATTCTCTGGTTGAAACACAAATACATGAACTACTGATGCAATAATCAATTGCCATCGAGAAAGTGCAGTTAAGAAAAACGAACCTTATCGAAGTCATCCCCACCAAGATGAGTGTCCCCGGAAGTAGACAAGACCTCAAACACACCATCACCAACCTCAAGAACTAAAACCAGTGGCAGCAAAAAAGGGAAAACAAAAAATTAAGACCTTTACAGATATGCAGCTTCAAACCATTTGTACTATAGTAGCATACAACTTAAGACCAAGACTCCGGGACATAACATGCACATATGGATGACGGACAATACAGCAATTCGTATGTAAGCAGTTGGAAAAGAACATGATCAACAGGATTTTAGTAACAAGATTCTTATGGAAGAAGCGCTGAGAAAGCTACAGGCTAGCAGCAAAGACCCTTTTAACATCTGATAGGGATAGAATGTGGCAAAAGGGTCACTAAATAGCAATTGCTGACGGTCCAGTGAAGAATAAAGAGCATGCAAAACCCTTCTACACGGAGCACACAAGGAAGTAGAGGATATCTATTTCAGCAAACACCATATGAACCGTAGTATGGAGATGAATAGGAAAAGTGAGAAATTCATACCTGAAACATCAAATGTGCCACCTCCAAGATCAAAAACCAAAATGGTTTCATTGCTCTTCTTTTCGAAACCATAAGCAAGTGATGCAGCAGTTGGTTCATTTATAATACGGAGCACCTCTAGACCGGCAATACGACCTGCATCCTTGGTTGCAGTCCTCTGGGAATCATTGAAGTATGCAGGGACTGTGACTACTGCTTTAGTGACCTTGTCGTTCAAAAACTTCGATGCATCATCTACAAGCTTCCTCAAAACCTAAACATGAGTGAAGAAAATTGTTTAAGTAAAAATCAACAGAATAAACCCTCTATACATCACTCAGGTACAAGAAAAATACTGAGAACAAAAAGTAAACAAGATGCAAATATGTACTACTAAAGAAGTAGCCGAAGTCTTCGAGTCATGAAGGAAAGGCAGAATATTTAAAGGTAAAAGTTCCATATTAATTATCTGCACAGATAGACGCAAACTGCTTAGAAACAAAAGCAGAAAGGCCAAGTCTTATGCCTTCTCAATGAAATGGTCTTCTCTTTTATACACATACAGAACTTGACAAGAAGGAATTAGAAGAAACCAAAGGTAACATCAACTAGAAAGATTCAAGCGGTAAAACCAGACAAGATTCAGAAGGTTCACTGTAGATATATAAGAGTCCACACATTAAATCAGTTTAGAATCAATTTAGTTTATGAAAAATGGAGTTATGACCTCATTGAAAAAATTAAGCATTTTACATAATCCAGAAAAAAATCCTCAATATTCACAAGAAGACAATCTAAAACCACTGAAAAAAAAAAACTCATAGCAATATACTGTAACTAACGTGACGAACACACACCTGAGCTGATATCTCCTCCGCTGCAAACTGCTTCCCGATGGCAGGGCACTCGAGCTTGACATTTCCATTTTCATCCCTCACCACATTATAAGAGACCTGCTTCGACTCCTCGTCCACCTCCGACATCTTCCTCCCGATAAACCTCTTTACCGAGAAGAACGTGTTCTCTGGATTCACCACAGCCTGCCTCTTCGCAATCTGCCCAACCAACCTGTCGCCCGTCTTTGTGTAAGCAACCACGGACGGCGTCGTCCGCTGGCCCTCGGCGTTAGTCACGATAGTGGGCTTCCCTCCCTCCATTGCCGCCACCGCCGAGTTGGTGGTCCCCAGGTCGATGCCGACAACCTTCTCGGCGACCACCCGGAGGCCAGAGTTTCTCCGGGAGCTGCGGCGGCTTATGGCCTTGCTTTTTAGCTTCAGTCCGAACGACGCCGTGCCGTTGAGCTTCGCGCCGAAAAACACGGTTT